TGGTTAGATTGTGGTGTCCATGTGCTACCCCAAGTTGCCGTTTCGGGCTTGGGCTCTGGGCGGGCTCTGTGGGCTCTATGGGCTCTGTAGGCTCTGAGAGCCATGTCAGAGCTCACTAGAAGACGTTTGATAACAATGTATTCTGTCTTTGAAGCTCGAGCAGGGCTTCTTCCGGTAATCTATAGTATACTTCCTGTCCATGGGATAGATTCTAGCGGATATATGCGCTGTTTGCCTGCTCCTGTTTCTACATATGTCGATCCACCGCCTCTCGAGCCTGGTACGAAGCACGTCGAAGGATGCATCAATACAGAAACACGCCGGCGGTTCAGACTAGCTGTGGTCGCCACAACGGGGCATGCTACAATGTCTAATGAAGCGCCTCTTGTCCTTATCCTTTTGTGCAAATATTTGTGTTCTTAGGACGTATTGGGCGAGTGCGTGTACGCAGAACATTTGCAAGATAAGAAATCACCAGAAGCCACTTTGAGATATGAACACAGAGAGATTACTAGAAATACGTATGTAATAGCCAGAGCGCACAAATAATTTGTCCTAGAGAACAAGTTGCGTGGTGCAGGTGCTACGAGTTGAACTTGTTTTCTCCGGAGGCTGGCTATGGCGACGTGTCTGAAGCTGTTTGGCTAGGCTACGGTGCCCGTGTGCCTTTCAAGGCAAGACTTGGTGATATAGGTACGCTGCTATATTTAGACTATCTCCGCGAGACACGGAAATCCCAAGGCAGGAGTCATGGGTATATAAACACGACTAAAAATATGAGATTATAAATCCCGTCGTTGATCTGTCAACTTTCAACCAATCCAAGTGGGTCAAGAACAGAAAACAAACAGTCCCAGCTCCAGCCGTTAGCTACTTGCTTCATATCGAGTTAGTCGACAGCCTGTTGGTAAACAATAGATCGAGAAAACAACTTACGATTTCTTCTTCGGCTTTTCCTTGATACACCCCCTCATCTTGCATGTACGGACGTTCTTGTTGCGCCCCGAATAGTCAAGACCTTTCTCCCTTTTCTTCTCGCCCCAAGAACTAAAGTACTTCACCGACTCAGGGTCCGTGGTGTGTTTTGCGGTATAGCAAACATCGACCTGTTTACTAGAATACTGGTCTGCGCTGGAGCCGTCTGGGTCTTCGGAGCCATCTGAGTCTTCGGGGGCGTCCGAGTCTTCCGAGCTGTATCCGTTATCGTCGTCACAGTATTCGTCATTGTCGACCAACCTTCCGCAGCATCGAAACTTCCACATAAAATACTCCCAAGGTCGGTCAGAGGTTTGGTCTGGGATATCTGTTTCCTCTGGTTTCGTGCAGTTGATGACGCAAGACTTGATAGTATTGGATGCCTCGGAGTAGGATTTGTGGCAACGAACACAGTGCTTTGGAGTGTTATCAGGCCGGGCGAGCGGTATGATGGTGGCCTTGAGCATTCGAATCGTGTCATCTGGCATCTCATCGAGAGAGTTGGAGAGGGCTTGAACAAAGTTGGCAGCATTACAGTCCCTCAGAGCAGTCTTGATATCGGTTTTGTCCTTTGCGACCGAACTAGACCCGGATGCCCGGGCGACTTTGCCATCTGCGTTGAGCTTGCGCTTTCTGCTCGAAAGGTTGGAGTGAGTAACTGAAATCTCGTCTGAAGTGATACGCACTTTGTCTCTGCTGGCATGTTGAGGAAAAGACTAGATCGTGGTTGAGAGGGCGATCTGTGATGACGCGGCCATCACCGTCTGTTTATATAGACAACGAGGCCACTTATACTTAGGCGGGGTTAGATTGTAGTGGCTATGTGTCACTCCGAAACACGGCCCAAGGCCTGGGTGCTCGGAACCTAAGCGCCGGATGTTAATGATATTCAGAGGCGGACCAGAAACCGTATCGTTCTTCTCTTGAGGGGTGTCGGGTATGAGCCACTTAAACAACGGTAGTCGGACTGATAACGTTGACTCACGTTGGGGATGTCAACCTTCGGAGCTCATTGGCCAGGACGTGGCAGAGAAGGTGCTTGAGTCACCAAGCCAGTGTTTTGCTAGTTTACAATCCTTATGTCCTCAGCACTCGGGTTTGGGGTCGAAAGATTGATTTAATACGACCATAATGGCACTACATAGGCGTTGCAGAACTGGAGGTCGACCTTTCGATACTCTTACATATCAATACCATAGTCGACTCAGCACTCGCATATACCTTCCCAACAACACCTGTACTCCATTGTACCCTTCCTAACAGCACCTTGAGCTAGTCCTCTGCCTCATCCTGGCTCCAGTACTCAAGCTGTAGACTTGTCAAATGCCGGCTCAACCTTGGATGTATTTGTTGGTGCATATTCTGGCGTCGGGCCGGTGTGGCGCGGTCTATCACAGTGACCGCGTCATTCAAAATACGAGATTAAATTGGGCACATGAAATATAGATTTGAGCAGTAGATCTGCATACACGAAAGTTGTTTCAAAAACAAGGGAGAATCGGAAGCTCGAAGTTACAAGTGTAGAAACACCATCAAAATCATACGCATGATAACTGGGACCTGGATACTTTGTACAGTGCATTTTGGATTGGTTGCAAGAACGAATAAGAAAGATTTATTTCATCTCAAGCTGCTAGCGACCTGCTTCGTATCGAGTTAGTCTACGAGCTCACGGCGTTAGGCGATCACTCACAATTTCCTTTTCAACTTTTCTCTTTCACATCCCTTCGCCTCACATGTACGAACGTTCTTGTTCCGCCCCGAGTAATCAATCCCTTCTCCCTTTTTCTTCTCATTCGAGAATTCGTAGTATCGGACCGATGTAGGGTCTGTTGTATGCTTCGCAGTGAAGCATGTGTTGTAGTGAAGATATCCGCGATCCCCGCCTGGACCCTCCGATTCATCCGAATCGCGCTCGTACTCATCACCCTTGTGCTTGTCGTAGCCAACCAAGCTTCCGCAGCATGGAAACTGCCACACGCAACGCTCCCGAACTGCGTCGTACTCCTCGTTACGAAAGGCCGTTTTTTCTGGTTTCGCGCACTTGATGACGCAAGACCTTCTTGTGTTTTTTACCTCCCGGTAAAACTGATGACAACGGACGCAGTGCTTGGGGACGTGATCGGGATGGACTAGTGGTATGAGGGTAGCCTTGCGCTTTTGGATAGTTTCGGGTGGTCCCTCGTCAAGAAAGTTGCAGAGAGCTTCAACAAGACTAACAGGATCCCAGTCCCGCAGAATGCTCTTGAGATCATCCGAGTCCTCTGAAGCCAAACCAGATCCAGAAGCCCAGGCGACATCGCCATCTATATTGATCTTGCGCTTTCTGCTTGAGGCTTCAGTTGAATGACCGAAATCCCTGTTCAAGACAGTACGTACTTTGTATCTATCGGCATGCTTGGAGGCGGCGACGAGCAGTCGTAGTTGGGGGGGTCTTGCACTGACGTTGCAATCGCGGCTGGCTTATACGAGCCAGAAGACTCGATTGCGATAGCGTGACTGGGACGTTTTGGTTAGACTGAAGTGGCTGTGTGCCATTCCAAAGCGCCACTCACACTACTCCAAGCCGGGTCACATGGGGTGTATGCGCATCGTGGCGGCACCTACGTCCAGCTCAGCGACACAAGATAACCATGATGCAAGTAGGTGATAAGTGTCTAAATATGGCTTTACCATCGTAAGCACTAGAAATTTAGTAAATGATTTGGATGTGTGTAGAATGCTTGTTAGTGTGGATATATGCGCACCTTTACCACATTTCTGACCTAATTGCTGTCAGATCAACCTGGATCCATGATACTTTGGGCTCAAAACGGTTGGGAAAAGGTATGACGAGTGTGGGATTCGAACCCACGCTCCGAAGAACCAGATTGCAACTTCACATTTGACATGTGAAACCTTAGTCTGGCGCCTTAGACCGCTTGGCTAACTCGCCTTGTTAAGCAGCGTGGTCAAACAGTTGAAAACCGTCGTGCATGTCCCCTTTACCGCTCGATGGGTGAGGTTGAGAGCATCGCGGCTACTCTTGACGAACAAGAGACAACGGTTGAAGAGGTAAGTAAGAGGCCCATGGAGCCGGATCCATACATTGGAACTAGTACGGCCAGAAATCATATATGAGCTAACCCCTATTTGGTAGCCTCACTAAAATCCATGCTATATTTACATTAATCGTCTACTACTATTGAGCAGTAAGCGGGATACAAAGAAACATCATCTATTACCCTCCGGTTCTGAAACAAACGCATATAATAGGTATGTGTAGTAGCCGATAGAGGAGCTCCCTTATAGACTGCCCCTCGCTGAGATTAAAGCGTGGCTATATGAGAGAGAAAAGGATCGGCCGAGAACAAAGCCTGTATTTGGATTTCTAATTTTGTGTCAGGTCCGCAACTTATCACCTTGCTTCTGCAAGGTCACTGGGGGGGCCCCCCCCCCCCCCCCCCCCGCGAAAAAGAAATAATAAAAAAAAAAAAAAAAAAAAGAATATTTGAAAGAGGGATTTTTTAAAAACCCCAAAACAAAAG